GTCAGCTCCTAAAGGGCACAAAGGCCCTTCCAGGCCTAGGCCACCCTCACTGGCCAATACAGGGCCCAGGTGGTGTCATGAGGACTTCCTAGCAGGCATGCCGTCTTCTCTGGCCAGCAGAAGGGATCCTGGCCTGGCCAGCTGGGTACAAGCATCGTGGTGCCTGGCTATTGGACAAACCACCTGAGTACAGGCATCTTAGTGCCAGAACGCAGGTATGTGAGTACTAGTGAAATCATTTTTAAAATAAAATCACCTCTGCTTCCTATGAGGCCTCACATTGCACTTGGCTACACCGCCAACATTTTTTCCTCTAGCAGGTGAGAAGAAACACAGCACAACAGGTGTGGTAGGGAAATCGAGGGTGAGGAAAGAAACTGAGGGAGAGTAGAAGAGATGAAGATAATTTAGGGAGGTGATTGTTAGTGCTTAGAAGAAAAGCAGGAGTCTGTTCAGACAGAAAGAATTACAGAATGGTTGAGGTTGGAAGAGGCCTCCGGAGATCACTTAGGCCAAGCCCCCTGCTCAGGCAGGGTCACCTAGAGCACATTGTTCCGGATTGTGTCCAGATGGCTTTTGAAAATCTCCAGGGAAGGAGACTCCATCACCCCTCTGGGCAACCTGTTCCAGTGCTCAGTCACCCTCCCAGTAAAGAAGTTAAAGAATAAATGACGGTCAGTCAAGAGGAGAGATACAGTGCAAGCAGCAAGAGGAAGTTACAGAGAAAGAGAAGAAAGATGGGTCTAGGACCAGGGAAGGTTTACAAAAAGGTAGAAAAATGTTATGAAGATAGAGCTTGAACAAGATTATTTCAGGAAACGGGAAGCTGGAAAAGTCTTCAAGGGTATAGGAGGGGTGTGCACGCCTGCTGCAGCTGCTGCGGCAAGAGACAGAGTTGAATTAGCGTTTGTGTCCTAAACATAATGCTGTCATCTTCAACACACAGGAGGTGTCTAAGGCAACTTTGCTGTGCAAGTAGCACAAAGGAGCTTTGTGCAAAGGATTTCTGCTGGAAGGGAGCATTAATACCGGTGGGATGTGGCAAGGATAATAGAATCATACGCTAGCTTAGGTTGGGACTTCTGCAGGATATGTGGTCCAAACCCCGCTCAAAAAGATAATAATACATAGGGGATGAGAAATTCCCTTGCATCTTCACAGACAAAATTAAGCCCTAACTATAGTAACATCTGCCAGAAACAGGTATCCAAAGCCAAACCTTCAGTTGGTTCCCTGTGGCTGATGCTCCCCCTCTGGAAGCAATACTCATCTTACAGATTACTGGTATTACTATACTTGCTATGAATTCTTTTCTTTAGAGCACAGATCTTTTGTGTGTGCATTGCAAGCTGGCAAAAGACACACGTGACAATCAACCTGTAGCTTGCTCTAAACACACATGCACATTTGATGCCAGCATAAAACAAAGATATGAAAATATTTGTCATGCAAACAGGGTTAGTGATTAATCAAGTGAATTGTACCTTTCAGAGAGGTATCCTAGCAACTCCCCAGCAGCCAGGAGTCCCGGCTGACAGTGCACACTGATGCAATTGTTCTCCTCCTGCAAACATCAAAACTTTGCAGCTAATCAAAGAGATAATTTGAAACAGGAGACCATGTTAAATTTGATCTAACAAAGGGGAGTTTTATAAATGAGTAATGTCACACGGGGCATCTCTGACGCTTAAAGTTGTCATCTCAGAACAATAGTGGGTCAGACTAAGTGAAGTCATGCAATTCCAGCAGCAAAACCTTACTTTGCAAAAGTGGCAGCACGATTCTGTTAAAGGTGCTACCTTCTGCAGTTTAGATTCTTGGTAGTCTCAGCTTTAGAGTTTATGCTTTTTTTTTTTTTTTTAATAGCAAAGGCTACCCTAAGCACTCTTCGCGTACAAGTATCAACAAAAGCCCTCCCGATGCTCTTGCAGCCATTTGCCCCGATAGGTTTCCCTAAACAAATTCCTACTCCTAACATGTCAGACCAGATATGCCTGCATACCCCCTAACAGCGCAAACACGCTCTGGGGTAGCTAGATTGGACCTTCTATCTCAGGACCAGCAATGAACCTGAGAATACTAAATAGCCTAAATACATCCTTTCCAAGTGTCCTGTCTTTGGAAGGTTTATAGATTTGCAACTCATCTTTTTAGGGGCACATATGAAATAAAATCAGAAATGCAAGATTTTTTAGGGTTCTGGAAAAAAAAAAAAAACAAAAACTTTTCCACTCTGTAGCTAGCCCAAAGACACCACAGAGGACAAAAATATTGAATACAGGTAAGTATTTCCTAGTTCAGTCTTCTTACCACTGAAGTGCTCTTTGGGCTTCAGTTCAGAGTCATCAGGGTATCCCAAGTTCTCCTCCTAGAGCTTACATCACTTCTCCTGCATTACAAAAGATCTGCTACCCCACCCTGCTTTTCATCTCTTCTCTCTCAAAGAGAAAAACAATTTTTCTCCTAAAACTTCCAATTTCCTCTGTCAGGTGTGTCCTAACCCCTGTTCACCTTCATCAGATTATCAAATTGCTCCTCAGCAATTTAGAGCATAAGAATTTCTCTGATCACCTCTTGTGGGCTCAATAGGAGAGCAAAACACAGCAGACAACAGTCAGGCAGTCTGAAGACCTATCAATGAGAATTCACAACACCACATAGACAAAGTCATCCTATCATCACACAAACATCTTACATTTGCGGACTGCTTTTTGCCCCAGCCTGTGGATTCTTTTGCAGTCAGTCAAGTGCTACCATCACAGCCACCACTAAAGCAACATGCAGACTGTGTGGCTATGGTGGCTGACACCAGGAGATAAGGAGGACTGCTGTGGATAAATGAGCTCAGTCCTATGGTCCATAAACTCTTAAGACCTCGCAAAAGTTGCTTCCAGTCACTGTTTGCAGATGGTAGAAGGATCCAAAGCCCACCCCCCTCCCTTTAACTAAGAAACAAAAGATTCCTTCTCTAAGCTCCCAAGCGCTTGCTTTATACATTTTAACTGTAATCACAATTGCACGCAACTATAACTGGGAAGCGTAGCAGGAAAAGAGAATTAGCTGTAGAGACAGCAAGCAGTCAGGGAAAAACGTACCTATGGTGCCATTCTCAGTAGATTCATTTATTGCCAGCCTCCTAACACACAGATTCATCTTTTTGTGCAAGGCAGCACAGTACTTGGTTCACGAAAAGTCTGGTAGCAGAATGTGAATGTTTGTGAACATAAGCTGTCTCACATCAGCCTCTTATTAGAAAATACACATTTATAACTGAAACAAAAGGACAAGTCAATTCAGCAGGACAGTTAGTATTAGCAGATGTTAAGGGGCTGACTTGCAAAGAAACAAAAAACAACACCCCACGCACTACACGATCCTTAACAACTGCAGCAGCTATGTTATTGAGGATGTAAAGACGTGAAACAACCGCATGAAAGAAAAGATGAACAACACTAACAGCAGCTTCAGAAATACAGTGCCTTCTTCTAGGAAGGGCAATACTCATGCACAATTAGGACAAGGAAGTTAAGACAACTAACTATCCACTTGCATACATCTACAGGTGTTTACAGACTCCTCTTGCCTCTCACAAGGCAGTATTCCCCAAAACAAGTCGCGGTAGAAGAGTAATAAAAAAAATAAATTCACTGTTTCTGGTCAGAATTGTCCTTCTGTTCTGACTGTCTGTACAAATGCATGGGGAAACAAGCAAGCCCAATTCTGTAATACTGTCAGTAGATACAGGTTTGGACTTTAAGTAAATAAGCAGGTGAGCATGAATTACTCTTCATTACAGACCAATTAGTGAGAAAGGCCCTATACAATAGGTCTAGATCTGTGACTAATTTCCTTTCTGAATGGGGAAAGCAAATAAAGTTACTTCATGATGCAGACACTAGCTTTTCTTTTCAGAAGAACCATTGTGTTCACAGAAATCTTGACTCAAAGCATATTGAAATCAAAATAAAGCATGTTGAAACCAAAATCCAGAGAAGGATTCTTGTGTTTTGAATCTGACTCATAGGGAGCATATCAAAGAGGCTTTTCAGAAATCTATACTTCTAATAAGGAATGACCTTCAGCTTATTTTCTAGAATGGCTCTGCTGTATCTGCTTCCTTGCCTACATTCATAATTTATTTACCCACACCAGGCACTGAACAACACGATTAGAACTTTTCCTACATCCCCCCTGCCACAGTATCAATGCTCACGAATAAAAAAGCAGGAGAACTTTGCGTTAAAGATGATCTACACACAAAACTTTCACTTAACTCTTTTAATAAAACCAATTCGTTAAAAAACAATTTAGTGACGACTGGGATTTTACATAAAAATTCAGAAATTACAAAAAATAGCATTACATAATAAATATAACCAGAATATATGAGAACAGTTAGATAAGTTTGGTAGGAAGATCTACAGTGGATCTATGCAGCAAAAAAAACACCCAGCTGTTCCTGAGTTACTTGTGCTTCTGTTGAGGTGGTTCTGTGGTAACATGATTGCAGTATACAATATTCTCTTTCTATCTGAGCCTCTGTGCTAGGTAAGCCTCTTCTATCAGATTCGTAACATTTAAGTTGCACATGCCATCTCCTAACACAATCAAGAGGCTCTCTAAATGCCTGAGAAAGAAAATATCTGAAGCCTAAATGAAGTACTCCAAATCAAGAGTAGTGTACTGTGAGCAGCCTACAGGTAAAACGCCATTCCCTACCTTGGCTAGCCAGAGATGCATGTCTAGTAGCTGCCCTGAATGCCAGTGCTGACACACAAAAGCTTGTGGTTTTCTTAGCCAACTCATTCTGCAATAAATAACAATGCTCCCTTCTGAAAAGTATAATTTTACTTTATGTACCATTACACATCAGTGAGTCCTAAAAAAAGGAGAGGGAGAGTGCAGGAGTAAGAAAGGAGCTCAAGAAAGCAGGGGGGAAAGTAAGAGAAAGAATGGGGGGGGGGGCAGGGAGATAGAGAAAGAAAGGGGGGGGGGAGAGAGAGAGAGAGAGAAAGAAAGAAAGAAAGAAAGGAGGGAGACAGAGTGAGAGGGAAGGGTGAGTGCAGGAAACTGAAGGAAGAGTGGGTGTAAGACTCTAAGACTCCTTCCTTTCCTACCTGCGTCTCTCCCAGAACAGGGCAAATGTCTCTCTGAAATCCCAAACCACTGCATCATGGCCCGATAGACACTACCTAATCTCTGAGGTCTCTATTTGGATATCCTATTTGAAAAGAAATATACTGCAGATGGGGTTAGGTCATGCTGTTCTATCAGAGTGCATCGTTCCTCTGCACATATACCCATTTATATAACTCATTCCTTCATAAGGCTTTACAATATATCTGAATTTTTTCAAATCTGTATCTAATAAATATTGTATGAAAATATTTTTTTTTTTTTAGTATTTACATATGACAAATTTAAAAATACGGTCATTGTAAGATTACTTCTTCAATTTCGTCTTCTAAAGAACCAATGGCCTTAACTGCTGGCTTGCTTGTAGGGTGTTGCAATCGGTGTCTGTTTAGGTTTCTTTCTTCTCCGAAAAGCTCACTGTCCCCTTTTGCTTTGATTTTACTGTTTTTGTTGACAGGAGGACTATTACTAGGATCCCAATCTATGTCGAAAAGTGTTGTATCATTACTTTTAGAAGGAAGGATGGAATTGGCACTGCTTCCAAAGAGCTGTTCCATTAAATTGGACTTCTTTTCTTTCTTACTGCTGAAATCTACGTTTTCCTTAACATTTTCTTCTAAGCGGTCACTTTTTTGATTAAGCCAACTCAGTCTCCCCGATCCTTTTCCAAAGGAAGGTACATAACTACCAAATGTTAACTCACTACTTGAATCTGCGGTCCTTGCATTTCTCTGCTTCTGCCCTTGTGTTCTTGTGGCATCATCCTGGCCATCGTATTGGGGAAATCCATTAATAACCTTATCTGGAATCTCAAATAATTGGTTAGCTTTCTCTTTTTTCTCTACGGAGTCAGATTTTCTTGCTGTATTCGTATGCGGTGCGTGGGAAGCAAGTTTCATGTTCATCACATTTTGAGTTTCCCTGTCAATTTCATACATTTTAGCAAGCAGCAACTCTTTTTTTTGTCGTTCTTCCAGCATTTCAGTGCTTTCTCTCTCTATTTCAGGTTTGGGTATTTCTGCCTCCATCTTTGTTTTTTCTTCTTTATCCAATAAAAAGCCATTTTCTTTTTTCATTTTGTCATATTCTTCCCTTTCCAACTCTGCAGAAAATGTTTAAACATTATTTAAAGTAATATGCCTTTATAAAAATATGTTGAAAATAATGCAACCAAAAGCCATCGAGTTTTTAACATGCTCTTCCATGCATAGCATGGTTTCCCATTGCAAAACTAAATTATCCAAAAATTGCAACCAAATGGTTGCAATTTTCTACCAAGATACAAAAAGTACACTGTCACTTTATAAAGGGATCAGGACATCATCCAGATTTTAGGGCTTCAGAAGGATTTCATTTCATTTCATTTTTCATTTCTGCCAATTGCCTTCTCATTTCCTGGGTTTGAATGAGGATGAATATAACATCACTTATTTTAATAGCTCTGACTTGCAGAGTACTTTATTTTCTTTGCCAACATCACTAACTCTGGGATACACTGTTTTTTCCTTAAGGAGAACTACTCCTGTGAAGCTATCCGGATGAAAAAAACACAGGAAGTCATCATTGGTTTTGAGTGGTGAATGATTCAAATTGTACTGTCTGCTGTACACTCAAAACATCTTCATACAAGTGCCCTGTGCATCACCACGTGAACTCAATGAGAGCGTTTGCGGAAATACCAAATGTCAGTTTGCACTGCTATAAAGTGATATGAAAGATGCAAAACACTAATAAGCTACTTTCAGAAAGAAATTGCAAATACTTATATGCATGTAAAAAAGTCTCTCTTCAAAGTATTTTTCCATTCAGACACAACACATATGTTAGGTCAAAAACCGAGTAACAACTACTTGGCCACTTCAACACACCAGCATTTCCCTTGCTGATCAATGCTTTCACTAAGCTCTATGTTATCTTCTGTACTTCAGACCAACCTTACACAAATAACTGCAATGTTCAGTTAGTACTTTTCTTTACGATAGTGCATACTTTCACCAAGTTAAGTAACTAGCTACCTTTCTGAATGTATGGTGGGAAAATATCAACTTATACAGTAAGATAGGAAAGTGTGACAGAATCATTTTACTAAGAGATATAACGGAACAAAGTTGTGGCTTGTGTAAGTCACGCACTGATGCCAGTGGAGGCAGAAGACTTTACACAATTTTCCTCTGAAACCAGCTACAGCTTTTTAGAATTCTTCCTCGTCACCTACAACGGCTGCTTCATGTTCATTCACCACAGCCACTTAAAGAGAATTTTAACCTGACTAGATGCAGTACATCAAAAACACCTCTAAATATTAACAGACCTACAAATGTAAGTGACTTCAACATGTTTCAAAAAACAAATGAGTAAAAAAAAAGTAATATTAAAATGTAATGACAGAAACTGACACTTTTCAAACAGCCACACCAAATGATTCAGTTAACCACAAGTGAAAAGAGAACTTATAATTTCAAGTGATACAAGTGAGGTAGACAATGTACTGAAAAAATGGGCCATATTAATGAAAACATATTTGTTCCAATAGTAAAAATCCCCCGCCTACCTTAGTAACATCTAGCAAGTTAGAGATAAAACCCACTTTTAGCTGTTATGCCATCCCAGCTTTGTAAAGCAAAGACCTGTCAGGCTTCAATACTTCTCAGTGGACAGCATTTTTAGCTGTGATTGGGTGTGCAGTAGCAAAATACAGGACACAGGCTACTCTTTATCCTGTATTTCTTTCTGATTCTGTTTGCATGACACAATTGAAAATAATTTTCCACTGTAGTGGCCTCTGCAAAATCACTTTATTGCTCTCACAAGAAACTAGCAGCCTTATTTGATTAGTATTATATGCTATATTATATTTTCCAGCTTGCAGCTGCCCATTTCCTTACCATCATGTAGTTTTTGAACCCTGCCTTCTAAAGCCTGTAGTTCCTGAACATGTTTCAGTTTCTCTTCCCTTTCCCCGTCTTGGTCTTGTCTCAGGAGATCTGCTTGCTCTTTCAATTCTTTGTCTTGAGTTTCTTTTTCCTGAAATAAATTGACAAAAAACAGAAGCTGATGGAGGAAAAAAAAAATCAAAAACCAAAATCAAAAAAACTCAAGAACTTTTATGTCCCTCTGCAATCATATTCTTACTGCTGAACATAAACATGAGCAAAACATCTAAAACAAACCAGCTTGACAACCCAGGGGTTTGGCCCTAAAACCTTACTACCTGTAACATAGTTTTATGTACCTGAAACCATAGACCACCAACTCTATTCTGTATTACAGATTTCAAAAAAAGTTGCAGCTACAATGTCATAAAGCAAAATTAACACCACATTAGGGTACGGTTCTCTTTAGAAGGCAGTAGTTGCCTTTTCAAGGACTTTAACGGAAGACAGACCATCCCCTTACTCATTTAACAAGCAAGTAATTAGTTACCTTTGATTTCCATAGTTTGATCTCTATACTCAAGTGAGTGGATCATAGATTCAGACAGTTTCACAGTGGTATTTAAAGTTATTGAGTATCAAGTAATAAACACCAAAAGAGAAAGGTTCATTCTCAGCTGAAAAAAAAATCAGCTAATGAGTACAAATATGTTGAAAAGGAAAAAAGCTGCAGAAAATGTATTAATGTCAGTAAAAATCAGTAACAGAGAGAAGTAGTGACAATGAAGGAAAGCGAAAAACAGCCCAATCTAACATTTAGATGCTCTGTAGCTTGTGCTTATTTTCAGAGTAAGAGAATCCAATAAGCTTCACTGAGAAATGAATGAAACAGTTTCTGCTTAATAAACAGACAATGAAAACAGAACTATTATCCCAAACAACCTCAAATATTTTCTCCCTTCATCTGCATGAATTTTTTTTTTTTAAATGAAATTCACACAGAGATGGCAGTCAAATATTCAGAATGCTTGACTCAGAAAACTGATGAAAGCACAGACTACCCAAATTTGATTTACTTTTTTTAAAGCAATGTCTTTACACTGGTTAAAGAGAACGTTAAGATGACATATAGTTGGACTCCATGAGCTCCACTCGTACCAACTGTGCAGTTATACAACTTATATACCGAAGTGCTGGAAGAATGCATACATTAAACTATATCGACACTTACAGAAAGGATTCACACAGAGAGGACGTATGAATGAAACTGTCAGTCATAAAAAAAGCTTCCTTCCTATCAGGAGGCCAATCAAGACCGTAACCATTATTATTTCTTACAAATATTCATAGCTTTATATAATCAACATCAAGATTTGTACAATCTGTACTAGAATCTGTTTAACTCTACCTTACAAACCTCTTTCAATTTTAGTCTGAAGTCTCCAAAATATTAAAAATAGTGGAGTACTACTTTATAATAAAAAGGGAAACAGAAAAAAAAACACTCAGCCACATTCACAAAGCTGGACAAATGACAGAAGAAATTCCAAAACTATGACTGTATGAGGAAGTGTTGGATTTAGGCACTGTGAAGGAAAGCTGGAAAGTAAAAGAAATTATAATTAAGACCAAAACAAAAAAAGAGACAAGGCAGCCAGGACTGTGTTACAACAGATTGTTCAAGTAAGTATTAGAAATAAAGGAAAGGGTAGAAAAACAAAATTAAGTCTGTTAAAAACTTCAAAGAACTGACAGTGGCAGAAAAAGAAGCAGACTGAGTTAACGGCAATCAATAAGATACAGAAGATGAGGGACTAAGCGTCAGGAAAATGCAGTATGATATGTCCGGAAGTTTACAGTTCCCCTCAAAGGTAAAAATATTTTATCAGTTGTATTTTCTATATTTCTATGATTATATATTTTTTTATAAAACATGAACTGAGCACTAAACATTCAGTCTGACACGTACATTATTTGGAGCAAGTCTTAAATTTTTATAGAACTTACTATTCTGAGAAGAACCCCTTCTTTCTTATTTATTGCCTCATCACAAACAAGTTCTGATTCTGGAGGAAATTCTACTGGTGAGAAGTATCCACTGGTCTGTACTCCTTTTGTGAGCTGTGCTCCTTTTTTAATATTTTGGTTGTTGGCTGTAAAAATACAAATAAATTAAGTCATATTTTCACTTAAAAAAATATCCCAATATATAACAATCCCCTATTTTTAAGTCTTTGCAGCAAACATGAAAGAGTATATCGGAGCCAATGGAAATGGAAAGCATTGACAAGATTTACACAATTGTTTTCAATATCTGTAAAAGCTAATTAAAAATTGCATGCACAAATTTATGCTGAAACAAATCCTTAAAAAAAAAGAAAACAACTTTAAAACTACTCAAAGTCATTTCGGTATATTGAATATTTATTAAGAACTCTCCCAAAACATCTTGTTCATCTTCTTATTGCTTGTCACAAAGGCTACGTGTAGAGAAGCAGACTTACAAACTTAAAATTAACTTGTTTGCATCTTCAAAACATACAAGTTTAAAAAAAAAAAAAGTCATTCCATAGAGATAATCTGAACCTAAAATGGAACAATAGAACATCTATACTAAAATGGGTAGCAGATAAACTGTTTGAAAACTGTTTGGCATTAAGTATTTAAAACAGTCCCAGAAATTCCTGCTTCTTCTTACAAGCAAATCCTACTGATGCAGTGAAAACAGTCCAAGTACACAGACGTATATAGACACACATATTGTACAGATAGCGTAAGGCTTGAGGCTGGCTTCTCACACCACACGAAATTACTGCACTGATACTTCAGGAGTATTCTAGAATATTTCCTCTTTGAAGAAAAGGGAAGTGTAGCTCATCTGACAGAACAGTCAAACAAATACTGCGCTGTTCTTTGTGAGGAGTACTGTGCTGAAAGTAGTACAAAACAGTAGATGTTCTTGAACAAGCAGTGGCATAAACACTAAATGGCATGTATGATATAATGCAACAGAGTCTAACTTAAAGTGCCACTATTAATTTTTATACCTCCATCGCTTTAAGTTACCTTTTTTTCTTTGTATAACATCCATGTCTTTTCTTGGCGATAGCTTCAACATACGATTAGCATATATATTTTTTGCTTCAAGTTCTCTTTCCTTTTCCTGAGAATGAATGAATGAGGTAGATACAGCAGAATGAGGATTTTATTTACTAGTCACTAGCAAAACTGTAAATTAGCTTAAAATACATGCTGTCAGTAGAAACAGGGTAAAGGTGTCAAAAGTTAAGCCCGATGTTCTACGGAGAATGATCACATTCTTAACTTTCCTTGTGCAATTGCAACAGCGAGAGCCTTTTCCGCCTAAAAAGGCGTTAGCAAAATACTCTGAAAAAATATAGTGCCTCTGTAGCTAAAATAATATTTACATGCTGCACAAGTGAACTTTCAGTATCGTAAAGAGTTAAAAATTTCTAAGCTAGTGTTGTCATTTGTCACATGGAGTGTTAGTACCTGAGAGCAGGGACTCACTGCATCGTAGAGGCAGAGACATTTATTGAATGAAATACAGAAATGAACACTGAGTTGTTAGAAACCGTTTGAAAACTTAAAATTCTCCAAACTCTCCACAAACAAAGTATTCTTAATACATGTACTCTAAACAAGTAAGTTTATTTATGGGTTCTTAATGTTACTGGCTTAGCAGCTGGTGAGGTAAGCTAAACGGGTAAGCCTCCATTACATATCCGTGTTTGAGACCTACGGTTTCAAGGAAATTCTATGTACTTTGGTTCAAGACCAATTCGGCATTTTCTTTCTAAAGATAAACCGATTAAGTAAAATATTGTCATATTTTCAAAGTAACAATCCTCACAGCCAAATTTTAGAAGTTGGGCGAGTATAGGGGGCAAATAATCACTTGCACAAGTTTAGTAGATTTAGTTTAAGAGTAATTCTTGGCTATACACTTGATCTTGCTTTTCTTAACTAGCTCTAACAGTATTGATTAACATGGAGACATTCCTGTTTGAAAAAAAAAAAAAAAAGACTGTAGGGTCACAGCACTGAACACTTCAATTTAAAGCAGGAAAAGAACTCATGTGACATAATTAAGTACACACCACAACATGCAGTCACTAGTGAACTATCCAAACTCAATTACAGATATTTCCAAAGATAAAATGTCAAGCAATACCAGGTGGTGACCATGTTCCAGCATTTTACCTTTAGCCTCTGATTTAACTGATGCATCTCTTCTTGGAGAATTCTGTTTTCTTCATGAGCTTCATGTACCTTTTTCTTCTCGGAAAGTAACTGTCGCTGAAAACTGCTACTACTTAACTCAAGATTTTTTTCCAGATCCTTTAATTGAAACAGTGAAATAATACTCCTTAATAACCAGAAATACTTTTTACAATCAAGGTACTTCAATAAAATTACACATGTAAACCAGTATCTTGGATTCAGATACTGGCCCATCATTACAATGATTAGCACACCAGATTTAAATCCTAATCCTAATGTTGAGGGGGCAAACAGACAGAGCATCTGCAGGTGCTGCAGCTCAGCCTTCTGAGGCATTGAAAGGCGATTTGAGGACACAATGGGAACACACACTACTTTTCAATTTTACTAGCCTCTAGGCACAGGCATGGAGAAGACCTCCAGATCTGCAAGACAAATCTCAAACTGATGATTTAGAAACAGAACACACGCCTCACAGTTTGGGATTCAAAGCAAGGAGACAAGAAATAATACTCAACCTTTCTTTACTAGAAATAAATTTGTGACTGCATTTTCGTTTTGAGACCCTCACCTTGCAACATTCGTTTTAAGTGAACCTGCGATGATGACAGAAGGAAAAAAGTAGAATAAATCCTTTACCTTTTAAGGGGTAATATTTCATTTTAATATTATCCAATACTACAAATGCTGTAACACCTGATTATGAAACTATAGGTGCCAGATGAGGACACTACAGGGTGAGGTTATGTGGATAACTCATCACATTATACATTGATATTTTGGGAATTATTTCCTGAAAGCTTAGCTTCCGGTTTAATTCTTTGGATTTCAAATGTCTATTATATCTATAATGCATTTTAGGCTTAATTACTAATACAGACACCAAATATTAATATCATTATAATGACCAACCCTTTTTCAGCTTAAAAAAAATAGTATTTTATGCAACTACCAATAAATTAATACTGTTTATTTAAAATTGCTTTTCTTTTATAAGATGACTTTTTATGTACATACTTGTAAGTATTTTTGCTGAATACAGTTAAAATGTAATGCACAAGATTCTAAAATGGATAGCCATGAGATGTGCTAAAGTTCATTTTGGTATGTAAAAGAATTGCTCTAATTTTGTTTGACTCAGCCATCAGACTGTGCAGAAGAGAGGACAATCAAACAGTATGAATGCAGTTAGCAAAACTGAAAAAGAACGCAATATACTTAATTTGTAAATAGTAATTTGAATGCACAACCACTGACTATATAATTATACAATCACCTTGGAAATAAATTATTATTTAAGTGGTGCTATTTATGTGTAAAAGGAATGATTTCTCCATTTGTCCCAACTCATTCTTTTAAAAAAAAATATATATATATAAATATATATACACACACACACACCTGTACTTTAATTTCTTATAAAAAGAAAGTCATCTCACCTTAATTCTTTTTTCAGTGTCCTCTAGTCTGTTCTCTGCATACGCTAATTTCTTTGCCAGGTCATCTCTTTCAGCGAGGTGCTTATCTGCAGACAGCTTTTTCAGTTTCTGCAAGACAGTTTTTGTTCTGTACAGTTCATCTTCTGAATCTTTCAGTCTTCTCTCAGTGGCACGTTCTCTCTCTTGAGATTTTCGTAAGCGCTCCCTTAATATTCTAATCTCATTGTTGTGTCGAGCAAGCAGCTGAGAGATTTCATTTTCTGTATCTTCAAACTTATTCAAGGCTTTCTCCTGCCTATGCTGAAGCCTCTTCAGCGCCCTGTTTTCTTTCTGCAGCTCATCTAGTTTGATGTGGAGTTCAGTCAGCTCGTTTCGAAGCTCATTGATTTTCAGCAGCCTAGCAGAAAGAACTCTTTTTGTAACAAGATCTATATCTTTTGCAGGAGAATCCCTAGTGAGGCTCTGGGAACGGAAACCCCATCGTGTCCCTCTTTTGCTTGGTGCATATTTGGAATCCAGTTTCTTTGTGGCTAAGAGAGGAAAAATAAAAAGCATGTTTACTGTAAGACAATGTAATTTGTCTATCCAGACATCCTTCTTGAAATAAAGCTCTGTCTGAAATAATTTTACTGTACTTAGCAGAGACTGTAGTTTTTGTAACAGAAAATAAAAAGTATATAAAAATAGGCTTATGCTCATTTTCATAGATAAAAAGTGGACGATCTACTTATCAGTAATAACAGTCATATTTTGTTAATATTTAATCCTGTTGATTAAAATGTTTAAGACAGAAATACTGTATTCTTATGCATACAATGTTATGATTATGTTTCTAAAATGGTAATGATTAGCTGAGCTTTAGCTAGTTGCGTATTATGCAAGATGTAATTCTTCTAGACAAATGCAACAGTATTTTCGAATCCAGCTGCCACACTTACAGACAAAACAGCAATTTCAAAGGCTCGGTGCAAGAAGCCTCCAAAGCAAAATTATAAATCCCATGAAAATTCAGTCCTCTCCTGAATAATTTATTCTTGTAACAGAAGTTATTTTTCTGAGAGTATCCTTACTTGGTTACTAGTAGGCATCCCTTCCAATTCTATTTGACGTTATTTTATTATCAACTCCACAGATAAAAGCTAAACATTTTGTTTCTCTTATTTGCCTCTCAAGCCACACTCAAAGAACAAAGCACATAATCCACAGAAAACACCTCTTAAAACAACTGTGTACATAGAGAGTATATATTTCATTAAGGTAGATTAGTGTTTGGAAAAAATATACTAAGCACTAGCTTATACTTCAAGCTTTAAAACTGAGATATGGCTGTCATGAAATATACTGTCTGTATACACAGACAGTGTGTATGACACCAATTCTGCTCTCCCCACCAAACACACTTTGGCACTTTCTGTGTTTCTAGTCTACCAAAAATATTCTACAGAAAAAACAACAGCTTCAAAATATTTCTTACACTTTCCTCTAAAGTGTATTTTGCATATATACTCATCCGTTCTGTGTTTGATGCTCACTTTTTCCACAGCATGGGTGAAAGAAAAAAATTTTATGTAAAGAACATTTATGTCTTTACAGGTATGAAAAGATTAACTAATACACATTGCAGGAATGCTGCCACTCCTATCACCAATGAAGTGAATTCCCATGAACCTCACAACCTAGATTTCCTCCCTTTTCAAGAATTTCTCCAAATTTAAGGCAGAACAGAAAATTCTAATACCAAGTTTACGCTTTTGACCATATACTTAAATTAGGAAATAGTGTCTTTCAAGACTAACACTGCAATCACACCTACATTTAAGAATTATATTCAGTTTTGGCTACATAATCAGCTCTTTCAAGCAGCTTCAAAGGAACAGTTTCTCCTATCTACCTACCTTGGTACTGCACAAGACTGTCTGAAGTCTGTGTTTTGTGATCTTTTTTCCCCTGGTGTGTGGACTGACAGCTTAACGTTGGTGACCGACCAGATGAATGAGATGCATTATCTTCATCTGAATAATAGGAATCACTATTTTTATCTTCATCCGATTTTCTGTCATGTTCAGAATCTGGGCTCCTTACTCTTTCTCCCATTTTTAGATTTAGCTGTTTTCCAGATTTTTCCTCAAAGGCTGTTCATTTTGACGTGAAGGACCTTTTACGAGTCACAATGGCAGCAGCTGCATTATTTCCTTGTGTTTATCATCCTCATCTTCAAAGCATGATCTTTGCAGTTCGTTTTAGTAAGCAGTAGTTATCGTTTAGAATGCATTTTTCTGTAACAATCCAGAAAGAGAAAAAAAGTGAGAATTGTTTTGCTGTTCAGTATTTACAGTCCAGACATGTTAAGAGAGAAAGGTAGAAAGAACTGTAAAATTATTCAGGATTCCTACACTCTTATGCCAGTTGCTTTGGTGTACTAGCCTTATTGTTTATATTAAACGGGACAGACGCTACTCTAGGAATGTTGCTAGCACTACACTCATTCCGGAGTTTCGCCAAAAGAGAAATGAGAAAATTAACACAGAATAATAAATTACTCCCAGGTTAGAAAGAGAATAAAAATTATTTGGAAGACAAAAGAGAAGACAACTGAAAGTCTGAAACTACTCAGGAAACTGATTTAAACTTATTTAAAAACTTTTTAGCTAAATAAATTAACTACTCAGTCATGTGATTAGAACTGAAACATTATTTGTAGAATTAGACTAAATAGTTCATATCTCAATTTCTAACATTCTGATGATGTCAAATTTTGTGCTTGAAAATCAGCTGCCCCCTTTGTTTGAAGGGCGTTCTGTCCCAAATGCAATTGTACCTATGTAGCAGGGCATTGCATCCTTCAATACAGAGTACTTTGCGCCTTCAAGAACTGGCAGCAGCATGCACATTTGTTTCATATGCTTTATAGGAAAATCCAAATAGAGAGCCTTTTGCTTTTTTAGCTGATAACAGAGGCCACGCTGCTGGTATATAGTACACATTACATCTGCGGTTACTTTAAGTCAGCTGTAACAGTTACAACAGAAAAAAAAAGGTTGCCACTGCAATCTCTTTTGATGGAAGCTGAAAAATCCTCTAATCTGAAGGTATAGTCACCTTATCTTGCATTTGCTGAGATACCTTACGTTGTGGAGTAGATATATGCAGAAATTTACTTCTCAGTCAAAATAATTTTTTCATCAGTTTATGAAAGTGGTTCACTATATATGCATTCACTATACCCAACCTCCCACGTCTATTGTCTCCCTCACCAACCTTCACAGTTCTCAAGCTTATTTCACTATCTCCCTCCTATCCAACTTGAGGACACTGAGCTTCTAATGGGAGAATAAATAGGACGCGCATCAGAGCCCCTCAGTTCTGCCTGTCAAATGACATAAGCTCCTAGCCCATTTCTTAATGGTTAAGCAAATTACGTTCAAAGAAAGAACTGAGCCGCTTTCAATTGTAACTCTTCTACACTGCAGGGCATTCAACACACCTGTAAATATTTCACTATATTAGGTCACTTTGCTTTACCAATAAAATAAACTTAACACGCTCCTCAGCCTTCCAGTCCACTGTCTATACATGCAGAACTGCACAGCCAAGCAGAAAAGAAATGTCAACAGCTAAGACAGTTTTCATTACAAATTCAAGCTTTCTGGCCCAGTTCACTGTTAGTACACATAACTGCCTCCACTGACTGAATGGATTTGCCCTTATAATCTACATAGCAGGAAGCAGTGGGATGAATATCCCCACATGTCCTCCAAGACTTTTAGACAGATTTCTAAACCAAACAGCTGGTGGGAAATTATTACTGAATTATTTGAAAAAAAGAGCGTTTTACTCTCCTTACACACTAACTTTCCAAAAGTATGTTTTTAAGCACCTAAATATTTTCAAAGGGGTCCAAACAAGTCAGATGTCCAAAACTTGTGCCAAAAAGTATTCTGGTAAAAACTAAAAAGCCCAGAAAACACAAGCTACGCTTCAGACGACTTGTGTTAGGGATTGCTAAACACCTGCTGGAAGGTGTCAGTTATTAAGAAAATCCAAACGACCAGTAAAGAATGTTATTTTTTCTTCTGAATTAGTGCAGTTACTAAACATATTTTAAAAGTATGCACCTAACCAGAATCACACTATCTTGTTTGTCTCTAAATGTAAAGACCCTCACAGGTGTTAACAAAGGTGAGACTAAGACCATGTGAGAATACTAGAACATATCAGGGTACCTCCATAGTGCCAAAACAGCTCCGCTTCTTAGTCCTCGTCTCCTGACCATCTGCACAGCAGGCATGTTTGCTCCTGGGCTGTCTTGTGGAGCAAATCAATCCCAAGCTGAAATGCAGGTACAGTTTTGGGAGCACAGAGAAGATTGTGCCAGTTGTGTCTCCACAGGACAGAATTTCAGGGAACGCAACACACACAGCCGTATTATAAAAATAGTACTCTGGTGGGCTGTAACACAGACCTTGCATCATTTCAGGCATCCCGAATGGGAAAAATCCTAAAAAATAGTAACTGTGTCTGTAGCCTTGTGGCCTACACCTAAGGCAGCGTTGTCATTGCTTGTAACATGCCACAGGCTTCACGTTCAGCTAACAACATGGGCCACAGGACTTGCCAGACTTCATCCAGACTCTTCTTGGACTGCGTGGAGCTTTGTTATAGCTTGTTTAGCTGTAGTTTAAAAAAAAAAAAATCTAACAACTAGGTGACTATTATCTAATTTGTTTTAGCCTTTGCTTGGCTTTGTACAATTGATGCTGCAACACCTATTGTTACATATATTTTTATAACAGAATAATAACATGTATTTATTCCATGCAGAGTAAACTCTGACCCTTGAAGAAAATGCTGCATAGAGGACTACAGGCATGCGGTGATTGCAGAGGCTTGAAGGCCCAGACACAGAACGATACCGGGGCCCCAGGCTATAACAGCTCACTATGGGTCAATTAGTGGTCATCAAATGGATGCAACCTGGGGAGCCGGGTAAAACCAGTTTTATATGTAACAAAGACAACACAGAACAAGTACCCAACATATGTAACACACGTCATCTACAGTAAATGCAGATGTAATGTGGAACTGGGAATCAGTGAAGAAAGAGCAAGGTTTACAGTGTGTTAATAAACATGAAAAAAAAATGGCCCCAAATCAACGCAAGCTGAGAAGTCAGTCAGCATCAATATACTTCTCCCAGGGAAAGATATGGGATGCTGATGACTTGCTCTGAAGACCTCCTCCTCTCAACTGAGGCAATTCGCCTCAGGACCCAGAATTACAGTGGATGGGCAAAGATAACAGCAGAGAAAGGGCTCCATACTAAAAAATTTATGCATATATGATTTTAACTGTATAGACTTTGTACCGCGTTAGTACCTCAACTAACAATAAGTCTTTGGATTAATAATCTGTCTTTGGTTAGACTGTTAAGATTTTAATGAGAATAACAATAAATTCTTGGCTCTGCACGTAAAATGCCTTCTTGCCTATAAAAATATTTTGAATAAAATAAATTGGTGGGAATTCAAACAACCTACTCTGTTACTTGGATACAAATATGTCTCAGGGCCACAGGGGCACACAGGGCATCCAGAGGAGTCTTGGACTCCTGGAACGGGCATACCAGTTAACTCCAGAGGTATTAACCTGAAGTCGGGAGGAAGGAAGGCGTTGCTCTACAGAGCAGATGTCTTTAACAGTGTAGATAGAGGCAAAAAATACCCTAACTTTGTCTGCCTTCAGGATACAAAAGGACAGAAAGAAATAACCTGCACAGACTTTTCCTTGAGAAGAAAACATATGTGAATGAAAACAAATGGAACTGCATTCAGAGAAAAATTTAAATATCCACAATTGAATTATCAAGATGTCTAATTTTGTATATACAAGAATACTCACTTTCACTTACTGACTTAAAGCTGCTCAGTCATTTTATAGTTCCACAAGTACTCACTGAACAGGCAATAATCTTTTGGAAGAATGCTTTCATATCTCAAGAGTGTATTTAAAATAGGCAAATTATATTTTGTAAAGTAAAAATGTAAAAACTGGAGGGTAAGAATTATCTCTCACTTCAGTGCTGAATATTCCTCGACTCTGAGAATAGTCTTCTAAGTATCTTTTTGACATAGAGAAACATAAATGAACAGTAATTTTTGATACATTGTGGAGGTACTTTGAGAAATAATGGACTTAAAACAAATTGAAAAAGGTAACCCAATAAAAGCTCCCTTGTGGAAGCTTTTTGGAATGCTCAAATGGTTTCCAGCTCTATAAATTGGTAATATTACCATATTTGCCATACAAAACAAGAAACTTTAGTCTGTCAAGTCTCGCTGAATTCAGTTGCCTGCCAGTTTATAAAGTAATCTCATCAACATAAAAAACGTACAGTTCATCTTGAGAATGAATAAATCCCTAGGTTATTTGAGTTTTACTTCAGTTAGCAAAAGGACTGTCTAATTAAGAAATGCTTTGGTTCATTGACTTTTTAAACTGTTATCCACTAGGTTGAGTAGATTATATAAAAGTTCAGCTTAATTCACATGAGAAAAATCCACAGAGATATCTAGTTCCCTTGGTACATTTAATAATTTTGTGAGGAGTGAAACACTATAGGTTGGTAGCGGATCCAAGTAGAAAAAAAAAGCTGCATACATGCTTTTAGAAGTGTAGTGCATCAAAGTCAGGTCAATATAGAACATATTTAATATCTCTGGGACTTGTACCAACTTCAGAAACTTTTCTGTTTTCAGAATTTCACACTCTTCCAGTTCAGCAACTTCCACCTCTTATTTTACATATTTTTGTATTGAAAACATGCTCCACATTACAAAAACTAGTCACACTCCGGCCACTGCAAAGCAAGTGATAGAAAGCAAAATACAGAACAAAAAATAACAGCAATGACGACAGAATACTGTTTCCCTATCACTCGTCAACAAATCATAGAAACTAAACTATTGGATTACAGGTATTAAGCAATAACAAGAAAGGAATTCTTCTTTCATGGCACATCCTGAGCTTAGTTCTGTAATGGAAAACTAAGAAAATTTCAGGTCCTCTTCAACCCTAATGCTCTTCAAAGACCAAAAAAGCTAGATGCTTCTACTGGTCATCATATGCCACTTCCTGGGTACTACTGCCGACTTGTAATGGTCCACTCTGCTTTTCCACCTTTTCTAAGTGAGAGACAGTAAAAGAAAGAGCCAGATGCAGACAAATACAAAAACATCAATCCAGATTACTGAAGTGCTGAATATAAGCACAAAGAACAGCTTAAAAAGAAAGCAGTCTCTCGGCTCTACCTTCACCTATCCTTCTCACATCTAAACATTGCAGCTTCTCCAGAAAAGGAAAAGACTTATTAACTTATATTGCATCAAAATATATTCACTGACGAGAGTTAAATGAGTGGCAAAGATTTTATTGGGGAAGCTTTCCACAGTTGCTAACCTAACTGTAATGTAATTTCTTTTAAGTCCATCTCCTTTCCAGGAACTAAAATACCATACAATTTTAAAAGCTAACTTTTAAATTAGCTAACTATGTTAACAGTAATACTGCAATACTTAACGTTACTTTCCTCAGCAGATCTCAAAATAAAGAAGTTGCTATCAGCCTCAGGTATGAGATGAGGAAACAGAAGTCCAAATAGGTAACACACAAGCCAGTGCTACAGCTGGGATCAGGATTATGTTTCTGAAGTCACATCCTCTATCAAGGACGTCATTCGCACTTCCACCTCTGCCTCCCGCACACCTAGACGTACCTATTTCGGCCTGGCCATTTCTAAATGAGCTCTCCAGACCCTAAAGGGTAAGCGAGGGATTTTCCTTTACAGGGAAACAGTTCTTAAAGAACACACTTTAACTTCCTTTTTTTTTTTTTAAATTACTGCTTTTTAAAACAACTCACAACTATACTTGGGTGTACGCTTAAACGCAATCGTTTATTCTACAGCGGGGGGAGGAGAAGGGACTGAAAAAACCGCAGCCCTGCGTACGCCGTACCTGGAAGACCTACGGGCCTGCAAACGGCCGGTGCTCGGGAGGAAGTTTTTCCCCCACCTCCGACCT